TCTCTCATCTCCTTCATCTGTGACTCGTTCCTCCTCCAACTGATTTCTTGAGCGTGGACACAACAGACATGTTCCATGGGCGAGGCCTTCAAGCTGGCCGCTCTCGCGTCAGGCCGGAGATGATGGTCATCTTAGTCTCCATCTCCCTCTTTGCGCGGCAACACCAGCCTCCAGCTCTTGAATCCTCTCTGATCGAGCATGCAACTGACGCAGGGCGGTGCCGACCTGACGTGGGCGTTCGGCTTTGGGGAGAAGGCACGGGGGAAGCGTCAGCGCCAGAGCATCGGGGGGGGGGCCGGTTCTTGAGAGGTGAAGATACGTACGGGTGCCGATTAGGGCGGCGATGTGGCCGTAGGAGGTTACCTTGCCGCGGGGGATCTCCTGGACGGCGGCGTAGACGGCGTAGGCGAAGGCTTGGGCTTGTTCGGATTGGCGGGACATGGTTGGGGGTTTTGATGGGTGGTTTCGACGGGCGTGAAATTGGTCGCAAGGCTGTCGAGTTAGAAAGGGAAGTTGCGTGGGTTTAGAGGCTTGCTTGTTATGCGAACGGTGTGGTGGTTGTAGGTTGCGAGCTGCAAGCCATGTACCTCATGTGAAGGTGGGTGAGCCGGCCGGTGACATATTCGGTTAGCGGTGGAGGTCATCATTGTCGGCACATATGGCCCCCATTCAAGCTCGTGCCGTCCGTCGCCCATAACTTCCACCTCTCGAGCAATGCAAGCTTGGACGGTATAGTAAAGGCAAAAACTGCAGCTATGGCCTGACATGGGCCACTGAACGGGCTCCTTAGCATTTTTCGAGTGGCCGGGGTCCTTATTGCAACGGAACTGGTGCCGAAAGCCTTGCAATGTCGTCGGCGACACCTGGCGGCATAACATGAGGTTCATGGCCATGGATAGCAAGCCTTGGGCGCATCACTTGAAAAGGCTGAAATGCAGGCGGCAGGGCTATGTCAGATGATACACGAAGCGAATATCGACATTGAAGGAGTTCTCGCTCGATCCAACAGCATCCCTAACCTATCTTTCCTAGCTGTTATGAATGATGGCCAAGCTCGATGATGCAATCTAGATCGTTGGGAGACGGCCCTCGTCGTGAACTGATATTCGACATGAAAGGTGGGAGATTGAGTGGCCTCATCGTATCTACCCTGCATACACTTCATTCGAGCAGCTTTTATTCGCAGTTGGCTTTGCCTGTTGTTGTTCGCTTTTGCTTTTTGCTGTTCATCATTGCAGTTAGTCGTCTATGTTCGTTATGACTGTTAGTCGTGGCTGTTCTTTATTGATGTTGGCCAAAGCTGATCTCTGCTCCTGTGATCTTTTGCCTATTATGTTATTAGTTGGAAGCTGATACCTCCGCCTTCGTCCCAGCGTCACGAACAAACCACAAATTTTTTAAAAGGCGATGCCCAGTACCTCATCATGCAATCTACACTTATCTCCCAGACTTCATCGATCTTCCATTTCACGTATTACTACATAACATTCAAATCTCATTCACCAAACACTACCTAAGCACCATGCCATCTACAGTTGAACAATGCAAGTATTGCGGAATTGGTATGTCAAGCACGCAGTATGAGTGCTCCAGCTGCGGGAAGCCGCCCCATTAGGCATCCTCGATGGGTGGGTGTATAACCCTGCAATTACATGAATCAGAAGACTGATATCCTGTATCAGCCACACTATCAGAAGGCTCAAAGAGCCGTTTTAGGGTGTGTGAGGCCAGGAAAACACACATGTAAGGCTGCGGGCGGCCGTCTCAACTGTAGAGGGCCAGAATCCAGATAGGTCTCTAAACTATGACTGAAACTTGACTGCGGCTTCCACTTGAGGAAGACCCCTTCACTCTGCTGATCAAGTCGCTCTAATGTACACAAACATCCATCGAGTGTTATTGCGTAGGCTGGTAGCATCAAAGGTACAGCGTGCAAGTGCCAAGAGAACGAGGCACGGATACATACGGTTACGCAAGCTCCATGTGTCAAACAAACAGCCAGCTTTGTGACTTGGAAGATGGATGTTGCTGTCCTTCATGAACTGTAGCCTGACCGGCAAGAAACTATGGCGAAGCCACGGAACAGAGGGGGGGCATTTAGGGGCTTCTCAAGGGGATTTGAGAGCATACACAAGGGCTGTAGATGAACCTCTACATTATGGACGGCCAAATTTCAGATTCCTTCCTATCGTGCAACTAAAAATTGACTGCCGATATCACCTGCGCAAGACTTCTTTAATCTTTCCCGCCAATTGACCTTAGCTCTAACTAGATGCATCCTGACCTTAGGTGCAGCGGCCTTAACTCTTGTCAGGTTGGCTTGAATCTCGGTCAATCTTCTGGTAGAGTTAGCTAGACCTAACTGGATCTTGTCGCCAAGTGATTCTCGCCTGCGAAGTAAGAAATTCGAGGATACTAGAGGCATCGTCAATCTCATCATGGATGGCTACGAAAGGCCCTAGCCGGTTGAAGAACGGCCACTCGAAGCGTGGCGGGAAGAAGCCTGCATATTCCCAGTCTACGATTGCATTGATCCGCAGCGTTTCCGGGTTGACGACCACGTTCTGCTGGGACAGATCATTATGACAGAAGACGTATTCGTCTTGATCAGAGGGCCGCAGACACCAAGTGTCAACGTCCGTAAGCCGCAGAGCTCGATAAGGGGGAATCACGAGACCCGATGGCCCGCCGATTTTGTTGGACCTGAGAGCCCTGAGCTTCGCAAGATGAACCTGGAGCTCCTCCCGCACAGTGGCCTTTTGATCTTCCGCGAGCTCCGACATGCCGACGCCCTCAACGTACTCGGTGATCAAGTAGTAGGCTTCGTCATCTTGGAAGTCGCAGTACACAGTCGGCACCGGGACATTAGTGTGCGAGCGAATGAATCGCAATGACTCTGCTTCGTTCATGAGCCTCTCCTTATTCAGCCGAGGGATGTGCAGGCCTCGATAGCCGGTGCGGAACTCCCGCGGCCGCAAGCTCCTCTTCACAAAGGCGCCGTTCCGGCTGTAGTACTTTCTCTCAAACGTGGTAGCGAAGCATCCTTCATCTTGTTCCTCCTGCTTGGCGGTCATTGTGAGGGCTGAAGAGATGGGATTGGAAAGAGGGAGGTTCGAACGAATGGAGGCTGTCGGGTATTAGTGAGGAGCTGCCTAACAGCAAGCTGAGTAAGCGACTGGAAGCAAGCCGACAGACCAACGCCAACAGCCAAGACGACACCAACAGGCCAACAGGCCATGAAATAAACACACACCAAGCCAGAGAATTACAGGCAGGGGGTATTTGAAAGGTCTCCCTCACGCATCAAAGAGGACGATAAATCTAGACGCCTTAGGCTGGCAGGTCGGTTGGTGAGGTTGGTTGGGTTGTCACAAGTTCCTGATGTAGGTACCTACTTGAGTGGCTTGCACTGTACCTACCGCACTGAGCTTACCTAAGTCTTAGCCCCTCCGAAGTGCCCAGTCATGTCATGACTTGTCAAGTGAGGCTCCCAAGGCTCCTAAGGCTTCCAAGGCTCCCAAGGCTCCTAAGGCTCCCAAGGCTCCCAAGGCTCCCTGAGGCTCCCTGAGGCTGCCGACTTGATGGCTCCAAAAGTGTCGCTGAGGGCGTTCCTCAAGGGATCAATCCACTGAATTTGAGGCCTGCAAGACGCCTGCCCCCACCGACTTGGCGATACCTGTGACCACAACCATCATCACACTGGCGAACGTCTGATTTCCCGGCTGCACCTTTCTCTCATCGATCATTCAAATCCAGTCCTCAAATCACAACCGCATTGGAAGACAAACGCATCGGCTTAGGCTGACCCTGGGCCAAATCTACCGAGCAAGGCTCTCCACCAAGTCTCCCCGGAACCGCACCACAAGCAAACCATGTCCAAACGCGACCCAGACGCCCCCCCCTCCTACAACGAGGCCATCTTGTCATCCCCGTCATCTTCCTCTCCGCCCTCCCCATCCCCAACAACCGTCTCAGCGCACCTCGCCACGCTCCCCGCCCGCCTCCGTGCCCGCCGCCCCGCCCTCGACACGCACGACCAAGACCTCCTCACCCTCCTCATCCCCGACGTACAAGCCCACCTCGCCGCCCTGCACGCGGCGCCCCGTCGCGGCGCCCCACCGCCCCGCGCCGGCCAGTTGACCCTCGTGCCCGCCCGCCGCGGTCCCGGCGTCGTGGCGATCCCAACCATAGTGCCAATCGGGCCGAAAGAAGCACTGTAAAAAGTGTCCTTGTCGGAATA